AAAAAAAAGAATTGTGAAAAATTTAAATAATAAATAATTATGGGAACTATTGCCTCTGTTTATCTCACGTAGATTGGTGAACAATGCAAGACATGCAAATGGGGTTAAATCAAACAGCATGGCATTGTGGAAGCGCGGTGAGGATCCGAGCTGATTGGTAAGACAATTTATATACAAATGGTTAGATGAAATGTGTATTATCGGTTGATAGTCACCTGTGGGAAATGATGACAATATAGTTATGCTTTTTAGTGTTTGTTTAGGTGAATTGATTAAACTCTAAGTATTGAATATTTTTAAGATTTGTTGACCAAATGAAATGATATGTGTGATGCTCCAACTTTTATGACATAGCTATGTCTTCCTTGGTATAACAATGTTTAGACCTGTGATTTTGAGAAGTTACTGTGTTTAGATATTTTGATAAGTTGTGTTTTGCATTATAATTTGAATTGTATTGGGTATGACTGGCTGTGAGAAGAAGTTATGCTTATAGTGACCCGTTTTAGAATTGTGTAAGAAGTTAATTGAATGTGATTTTATTTCCTACTGATTGTTTAAATGGATAAGGGAATGACTTACACATTAGCTATGCTTGGAAGTTGATTATTGACCTTGAAACAACATATAACTAATATAATTTCGTGAACCAAGAAAATTACTGACAACTTCTGATGCGGAACCAAAGGAATTATTGCTGGTGTCTAATCAGTATTGTTTATGTGTAACTGGGACTTGTTTATGGGAATCTGTAATTATAACTGTGTCTGCTCATAGTTAAGGACTCTGTAATCGGTAATCTGTAATCTGTCATTTGTACTATGTAATCTGTTTTGTTTATGTGTAATCTGTAATCGGGATTCTCATAAAGAATGGTCGAATGACATGAAGAACCCCACCTATATTACGCGTTTGCTCATACGACACTCGTAAAAAGGATAGGTAATTATTGACTAATTTGGAATTGAAATTACATGATTGGTAATCTGATAAGTTACCGCAAGAATTAATATTCTGCCTCTGTATATTAATGACTTAAGATTGAGAAATCATTTCTTTGATATATTCTTGTGTAAATCTGTAAATGTCGGATATTGCAAATTGCCAATTGCCAATTTAGTCCTCTGTTTTATATTGGAGGCTATACTATGAACTATTCTGCACGGTATGATAGACTTTGCTTAAAAAAAAATTAAAAAAAAAAAAAGAAAAAGAAACGAATGGACGTGGGAATATTCTATATTGATGGTGGGTTAACGATATGTACTGGGCATTTACCTCCTCTTGTATGCTTATACATATTTGTATAATACTTACTGCATGGTTACGAACTGATTTACTATCATATTGAACTGATCTGGCTAAGAATTCTAACTCTGATATTAGGTGGTCAAATTATTTTGTCGCTAAACTATTGAATTTTTCTGACATTATGGAATCCGGATGGATGTGATTACTGTATACTTAATGGAATTTGTGACCCTACGAATGGACCTAGTAGAACCTACATACGTGGAGTAACTGGATACTCTGCTTATGTTAATCGACTGGGCCGGACGACTGGTCTATAATTTCTGTATGGCTGTTTGCTGACCCACAGTAATTATAAATTGCAAATATGAAACCATGTAGTTGACCTTGTAGTAGGAAAGGAAGATTTATTTGAACAGTGGAACACTGAAATGATTAAAAGGGGGCCAAATTAATTTGTGCTGTAACAAGAAGAAATGCTTATTAAGGGAGGATGTTACACCCTACTGTTATGACGGATTAATTAAACATGATTTTGAATTTGATTTCTGGCCTTATCTTTGGATGGCTCCCTTTGCTCGAAAAACAAATGGTTGTTCTACCTATTTTTCTTACTCAGATCCGAACTTATAATAGTGTAATTAAGTGTTTATCATGGTACATCTGCATAAATTTGCAAAAGTATATGATACTAGTTTTGATATTATCATAACTGTTTGATTCGGAGCATGATTCTCTTTGTGTTACTGTACTTAGAAGTAATGCTATGAGGAATTAACGATGTGTATTGTGACCCTTCTTTCTGTCGTACTGATCTTGTTAAGAACTGTTACATATAATTCTAAACCAATTTAATAGTATGACTTGAAATTCTTTTGGAAATAGGGGAATACTAAAAAAAAATTGTGAAGCTAGTGGTTACGTACTTAAACGGCTTATTTGTGACTGTTGGAATGAAGTATACCTTGTTAAATAGGCAGAACCTTGTTGGTGGACTCTGATAGTCGTAGCTTATTCGATACGGGATCCTATGAAATAAATATATGGAATTATTTTCTTTTATTCTACATGCCTGAAATGGACAGCGAAACGACTAGTTGGATAAAACTCTGAGATGCTTATTATGTTGTGAACTTTGGACTAACTGTGATGCATATCGGGTTAACCTGTGACTTGCTCGAACTGAAGAATTACATGAGCATCTATAACAGAATTACATGGTAAAACAAGTTTGAGGGACCAAACTTATTTAAGGGGGGGAGCGTGTAATAACCCGACCCTCGTGTGTGTTTCTGGTATACCTTCAGTCCCTTATTCTGTGCATCTAAATGCTTACTGTGAAACTTTACGTGAAATTAAGTTTAATTAGGCAAATCCTATGATTATGGATGCATATCTGTTTAATAGGAGAAAAATCTGTTACAATTAGAATGTTTGGATTAGAAATTGGAAGCCTTGGAAGCTTAATAATCTGAAATTGATTTTATATTTGAAGTCAGCATGATTTTTAGTTCTTAATATGATTTTCTATAAAATTTCAATTTGGAATGATTAAACTGATTGAATTTCGTTCTTATTCATTATATGCATATATATTTGCTTTCCTAAATATTTGACTTAGAAGCCTTAAACTCAAATATCTCCTGAGAGGGCTAGGAAAGGAGAATTAGGGTGAAAGATGAGAAGTCCTTCAAGGGAGAAATTGGGAAATTAAGAGGGCTCATAGAAATTTAAGCTCAAGGTAAGTTTAATTTGCTTTATACAACCCTCCTCTTGAATTGGAGTAAGCATTTCTTGTTGTTAAGCAAGTTAGGGTTTACTAGTGGGTTGGAGTGTGTGATAATCACTTGATTGGAAGAGTTTTCTTACCATTGAATTATGTTGGAAGTAAATTGGTTGATGTGAAGGAATTGGAGTCTACTCCTTGAATTCTTATGTTGGTATTATGCATTTATACAATTTATTGTTTATATACCAAGTAGAGGAGTTAGATCATGATGTCCTTAAACTTGTGATTGATGATTTAATAATGTTATGACTTGTAAATCATGTTTATGGTGTTGTTATGTCATGATATTGTGTTGTTTACCCCATTTCTTTCCTTTATGATGTTGTGAATTTGGTGAATTTGTGCTTAGTTTCGGACTGCCCAAAACAGGGGCCTTGGACGCACGTGCGGAGCACCACCGCACGTGCGGAGGTCATGGCCGCACGTGCGGAAAAGAGGGAAAAAAATGGGATTGCATTCTGCTTTCTGCCGCTCGTGCGGGGAAGGGGTACAGCACGTGCGGCCCACTTTCGCACGTGCAAAGGGGACTGCTGCACGTACGGCCCATGCCGAAAAATTTTGTCCGCTCTGTTTTCTGTGCTTGATCCTTTGATATTATTAAAATAATTATTTGATAATCTTAGAATGGTTATAAATTCATTCAAAGCGTAATGATCCAGAAAATGATTTAAAAGAAAAAGGAACTAATGTGTGAATTATATATGTGTGGACACACTCCGGGAGGAACCATCGCTCCGCCACAGCACTGTGAGTAATAGTACCGTAGTTGTACATTTACTTACCATTAATAATTCTTATTATTAACGCTCTGTTCTTTGCAAGTAATTACGTTAACATTTATGTTGATTGGAGATCGGTGTGAACTGATGTGAACGTTGAAAGATTTTATGTATATCGGTATGACTCCGGAACTACTCTGCATTCCTGTTACGGTTAATGGTTATCATTAATGTGCTATAACCTGTAAATCACCTATGACTCCGCGTAAGAATTGCATACGAACTATTAATACTGTGGAATTGGTTGACAAGAAGAAATTGTGGATGTAAACCTCGCTTACTGGGAACATGATATTTTGAATGAGAACATGATATCCTGAATATCCTATTAGGGACTCCTACAGTCTGTTTGGTTCAACTCATGTTTTATGGCATAGATATCTACCTAGAATGGATCATCAGAAGGAATAATTAGATAAAACTACGGGTTGCTTTATACATTAGTGACCGTTGAGAAACTATGATAAATATCAGATTGACCTATGAATAACTATGTTCATCAA